ACAGAGGATCAGTTTAGTATGCATTAAGTAAAGATTTCAACAGTTTGCACCCCCATAGAAACACAAAGTGAAATATATTGTTTGAGTACTCGTTATAGCATTAAATCTCAATGCACAGCACATTAAGGACAGAGATCCTACATGAGGAGTAAGTGCACAGTGACTCCTGTTGTTGACTTTACCAATTGACACTCCTGTCTATGGCATCAGTAATCTCCCTATGCTCCAGTCATGAGTTTCCAAGGCTATGGAAGCCCTCTGAGTTCTCCGACTCTTATCTTGTTTAGACAAGGTCATAGTCAAAGTGGAGGTTCTCTCCTCCCTTCAGAGAAAGGTACCTCCTTCTTTGAAGACCTGTTCTTTCCACTGGGATCTCACTCACAGAGATCTTTTGCCAGAGTGTCTTGGCTTTCCATGCCTGAAATACTCTCATGGGCTTTTCAGCCAGATCCGAATGCCTTTAGGGCTGATTCTGAGGCCAGAGTGCTATTTAGGACATCTGCCATTCTATGAGTCTGCTGAGTATCTCACTTCCCATGTTGGATCACTCTCCCCTTTATTTATTCTATCGGTTAGTGTTAGCAGGTACTAGACTTGTTTATGTGCTCCCTTTGACTCTTAGTCCTTTCATTATGATCAATTGTGAACTGAAATTGATCACTTGGACTAGTGAGATGGCATTGGTACATGCCACCTTGATGGGATTGAATTGGAATCCCCTGGTATGTTTCTAACGCTACCATTTGGGGCAAGTCAGCCAGACATCTGTTTTAATATCCAGAATTCCCTACAACAAATTACTGAGACTTAGTTGTAATTCTAGAAAAGGTTGTCAGTATATTAGGGGGAAGGGGGGAGAGACTCCCATTGATTTTTTTTTTTTTTAAGATTTATTTATTTATTTGAAAGAGTTACACAGAGAAAGGAGAGGCAGAGAGAGAGAGAGAGGTCTTCCACCCACAAAGGCCAGAGCTGCGCTGATCCGGAGCCAGGAGCCAAGAGTGAGGAGCTTCCTCTGCATCTCCCACGTGGGTGCAGGGGCCCAAGGACTTGGGCCATCCTCCACTGCTGTCCCAGGCCACAGCAGAGAGCTGGATGGGAAGAGGAGCAGCCGGCACCTATATGGGATGCCGGCGCTTCAGGCCACTGCGCCACAGTGCCAGCCCCTGATTTGTAATTCAGTAGCCCCACCTACTCGTTGCACCTTCGTGGGTGCCATCCTTTTGCCCACAGCGTCCCCTAGTGTTCAAACACTTTCTCCTGAATCATAGTATGACCCCATAAAATATGATTTCTGGGAAGTTTTTTGATTTAAAGTAGAAATGACAGACATCAGCAGCAAAATCAAGGGAATTTCCATTTAATGATTCTTCCTCTGTCCTGCTTGTGGTTGTTTGCACACTTTTGTGAGGTCTTCAGCCCTGAATGCAAGGTTGACCTGTGACTGAAGAAGGGGAATGCCCAGTAAGAGTAAAGCCCGCACCTAGACGGTCTGCTCTAGCCAGCCGGCCTGTGCAGACCCAAGAGCCAGTCGGAAGATTGGAATTCCCTGGGGGTCCGTGTGAAATGGGCGTGCGGTACCTCTCTGGGCCTCAGGAGCGGAGAGCGGAGACCTGCCCGGAGGACTGGCGGAGTGGGAGGCCGCCAGGGCTCACCCTCGTCACCTGCTGTTCCAGAGATGATCCCGGGGTCGGTCCTGATCAGTGACGCCGTCTTCCTGGAGCTGGTGGACGCCCTGAATCAGTACTCGGATGAGGAGGAGGAGGGGCACAATGACGCCTCGGACGGGAAGCCGGAAGACAGCAAGGAAGACCTGCCGGTCACGCGAAAGAGGAAGCGCCTCGCCATGGAAGGTGCGAGCTCACCTGGGCCGCTCGATGGGGAGGGGGCGGGGAAAGCTCCAGCGACCACTGCTTGATAAAGGCCACTGGTGTCTTTCACTGGTCCACTTAAAAGAAAACATGGCCCTTAAGTGACAGCTTAGGCTGGCTGTGACCTAGCTGAAGAAGAAAGGAGAACTTCTAGAATAATTATTGCCATTCACTTTTTTTTTTTTTTTTAAGATTTTATATATTTATTTGAGAGTTAGAGTTACAGACAGTGAGAGGGAGTGACAGAGAAAAAGGTCTTCCATCTGCTGGTTCATTCCCCAAATGGCTACAACAGCTGGTTCTGTGCCAATTCGAAGCCAGGAGCCAGGTACTTCTTCCTGGTCTCCCACGTGGGTGCAGGGGCCCAAGGACTTGGGCCATCTTCTACTGCTTTCCCAGCTCTCTGCCAGAGCAGAGAGCTGGACTGGAAGAGGGGCAGCCGGAACTAGAACCGGCACTCATATGGGATGCTGGCACCACAGACCAACCTACTGCACCATGGCACCGGCCTTGCCATTCACTTCTAATCATAAATGTAATGTGTTTTGAAAACATGGGAAATTATAAAGAACAAAATAAAATTACCCTATAATCCTGCTACCCAGCAACTGTTTCCTTCTAGGCTTAAAAAAGGTAAGTATGTCAATTAACATGTTTCTATGTTATATGCTGTTTGAATCAAGCTGTATATGTGTAGCATTTATTTATTTTTTCAGATTTAATTATTTGAAAGGCAGGGTTATAGAGAGGTAGAGAGAGAGGTCTTCTATCCACTGGTTCACTCCTCAGATGGCTGCAACAAGCGGAGCTGGGCTGATCCAAAGCCAGGAGCCAGGAGCTTCTTCTGGGTCTCTCACACAGGTGCAGGGGCCCAGGACCTGGGCCATCTTCCAGTGCTTTCCCAGGCCATTGCAGAGCTGGATCAGAAGTGAAGCAGCCGGGACTTGAACTGGGCCCATATGGGATACAGGCACTGCAGGCGGCGGTTCTACCTACTATCCCCCTATGTCCCCACCCCCATTTACTCTTATATCATAAACATATTCCATGCCATTAATATCTAGTCATTTAATCGCCCTATGTGTACAGAGGCACCGTGCCTCTCTCAGTGTAACGTACTTACTGTCTCAGATCAACATTCTGTCAGGGTTCTTCTGTAGGCCTCTTGCTAAAACCCCTCTCTTCACCTCCAGATTCTAAGAAAGACAAGATTTTGTTGTCAGTGTTTACTTGTGGCGTCTGTGAGCTGAGGCCTGGCAGCTCTGATCTTTATGTATCCCCCAGACAGTCCGTGGTTAAATTAACAAAGCCGTTGTGGTTAGCTTTGGCAAACGCCGAGACGGCCCCACAGTGTGTGTGCGGGCACTGACAGTGGCACTCAGGAGATGTCTGTCGTTTCCAATTCAGGCAACAAGAAGAGTTCCAAGAAGCAGTTCCCAAATGACATGATCTTCAGTGCGATCGCCTCGATGTTCCCTGAGAGTGGAGTCCCGGATGACATGAAGGAGAGGTAGGGGAGCTGTGCCCCCGGGCCACACAGAGCCCAGGCGAGGTGGTTATGCCAGCCTGTTTGGGGGCTAATTAAAAACCCCGGTGAGGGTAAGTGCACCGCACTTGCCTGCACGTCTGGTTATTCCTGGTGCTCGCTACCTCTGAACGTCCTTGCCGGGGCCGGGGCCGTTGTGTGCCGGCTTGGAAGGAGGAGCAGGCGAGAGCCTCACTCCGCCGTTTTCCTGGGGAGCTGCTCCAGCACCACCCATCGCTCTCCGCTGTCTGCCCAGCCCAGGGCAATGCAGTGGCATCTTCTGCTGACACACGCATTTCCCGATCCTCATAGAAACCCTGCCTGGTCCGCTGGCAGACCGTACCTGGGCGACTCAGTACCCACTCTCTTTTCTCACTGGAGACATTCCCTCGGAGGAACTCTTCTCTCTCTCCTCTTAACCAGGTACCGAGAGCTAACAGAGATGTCAGACCCCAATGCGCTGCCCCCTCAGTGCACACCCAACATCGATGGCCCCAATGCCAAGTCAGTGCAGCGGGAGCAGTCTCTGCACTCCTTCCACACACTTTTTTGCCGGCGCTGCTTTAAATACGACTGCTTCCTTCACCGTGAGTGGGCTACTCTGTTGGACACGCTCTCTCTCCCACCCCTGGCCACCCTTCCCTCCCCCTTGTCCCAGCTGATCATTAGATAGAGCTCCTGGCCTCTGGTCTGATGATGGTTTCACAACAGGGCCAGTTCTGTCTTCACTTGTGCGGCTGCGTACAGCGTGCTGTTCACAGGAACAGACGTGTCGGCCACATGATTGTCCCCTCGCACCTCCCAGCTTTGACAGGATTGGGCTGATGTCAGAAATGGCCACATTTTGTGCATCTTGGTTGCCACTATTTATATCAAATTCTGACTCCTGCTCAGCTTTGTTCTTTCCCATTTGTCAAATGGATAGAGCCTTGGGAACAGGACACTCTTTGTTTTCCAGCCTTTCATGCCACCCCTAACGTATATAAACGCAAGAACAAAGAAATCAAGATAGAACCAGAACCCTGTGGCACAGACTGCTTCCTTTTGCTGGTACGTTCGTAAGCTGTTCTGGAATTAACCGTGTTGAGATCAAGCAGGAAATGGTCCGTGGGCCCCCTGCTCCAGGAGCACAAGCCCAGTGAGCCTGGAGGTGGCTCCCCGGGGGCTGTGAGGCACAAACGCAGGGTGGCTCTGCTCGGAAGGAGCTCTCCGGACGCAGCAGGGCGATGGGGTTCATCTGATGGACTGAGCTTGGAAGGGCGCTCAAGGTTTCTGTGCTGTAAATACCATCTGCTTAGGAGTCAGCTGTATTGTTAGAACAGGAACAAGAAAGTGTGTGTGTGTGGTATGCACTCCATTTTCTTTGCTGCTGCGTTCCTTTAGGTGTGTATAACTGTAAGAGCAATAATACAAGAAAGTGCTGGTATTTTTTTTTTTTAAGATTTATTTGAAAGGCAGAAAGAGAAAGAGAATCTTCCATCTGCTGGGGCAGTACAACAGCCAGGACCCTGCCCGGGTGGAAGCCAGGAGCCAGGAACTCCCTCTGGGTCTCCCGTGTGGGTGGCAGGAATCCAGGGTTCTGGGCCATCATTCACTGCCTTCTAGGCACATTGGCAGGAAGCTGAATCAGAAGTGCAGAGTAGCCAGGACTCACACCAGGCACCCTGATGTGGGATGGGAGTGAGTGTCCCAGGTGGTAGCTTACCTGTCACCATGCCTGTCTCATGCTGATAGCTCACTGCGATCAGCCAGATGGACAGAACTTCCCTGGTGGAGAGACGTTAGTGTCATGTGTGCCTGGCAAGAGGCAGCTTGCTGAGCGCTGGAAGGGAGCAGGCCAGGGGCACTTGCCAAGATGCAGTTTGGCTTTCTGCGTAATAGAGGATGCTTGTGTAGAGAAGAAAAGAGAAAACTGCTGCTGCTGACGAAAGTTAGGTTATACATCCAAGTGCCTGGGGAAAATCCGCAAAATGGGCCATAGGGTCATGGCAAAGAATAAGTAAGTCAGCTTTATCCAATTTATTTTCTTCCCAAACATATGTTTGCCAAGTACCATGCCAAACCCTTAACATACAATCTCACAGCACTGTCCTGAGCTGAGAGAAACAATGGGTTATAGAAGTGACATATTTTGCTCCAAGTTTTAAATAATCCACATATGGCAGTGATAAAATTTAAGCCCTGGTCCATACTTACTTTTTAACTACTCCATGCATTTTTTTTTTTTAATTTCACCATGTCAGTCAACATGCCAGCTTTTGTATCACTCAAAAGAGCTGTCACCCTGGGACCCTGTGCAGGTATTGCAAAGGTGCTGCCAATGCCGTGTGTATGTTTAACTTACAGAGATACAGGCGCAGTTTTTCTTTTATTGCTTTTTAAGATATGAATATATATTCAGATACAATGCTAGACTATTTCCCCCAATTTTTCATCAAGAACAATTTCAGTTGTGCAGATGATCTTTGTGGATTTGGAACATTCTTTTCATATTCACTTTGTGTGTATGCATCTGTGTTTGTGTCTGTGTGTGTATCTTTGTGCATCTAGGTGTGTCTGTGTACATCTGTGTTTTTTTTTTTTTTTTAAGATTTATTTATTTATTTGAAAGGCAGAGTTAGACAGAGAAGGAGAGGCAGAGAGAGAGAGGTCTTCCATCTGCTGGTTCACTCTCCAGATGGCCACAACAGCTGGAGCTGCGCCAATCCGAAGCCAGGAGGCAGGAGCATCCTTTGGGTCTCCCATGCGGGTGCGGGGGCCCAAGGACTTGGGCCATCTTCTACTGCTTTCCCAGGTCATAGCAGAGAGCTGGATTAGAAGTGGACCAGAGGGGCTCGAACTGGTGCCTATGTGGGATGCCAGCACCACAGGCAGCGGCTCTATCCGCCACGCCACAGCACTGGCCCCACATCTGTGTTTCTGTGTGTTTGTGTGCGCGCACCTCTGGTTATCTTTTGCTGAACCATTTGCATATGCATTGCAGACATTGTGATGCTTGTTTGCTAAATAATTTCACAGCATCTCCAAAAATAAAGTCATTTTTTAAAATTTTATTTATTTATTTGAAAATCAGAGTTACAGAGAGAGGGAAAGACAGAAAAAGAGATCTTGCATTGATTGGTTCCCTCCCCAACTGGCTGCAACAGCTGGGGCTGGGCCAGGCTGAAGCCAGGAGCCAGGAACTTGGTCCAGGTCTCCTACATAGGTGATAGGGGCCCAAACACTTGGGCCATCTTCACTGCTTTTCCTAGGCCATTAGCAGGGAGCTGGTTCAGAAGTGGAATAGCCAGGACACGAACTGGAACCCAAATGGGATGTCAGTGTTGCAGGTGGCAGCTTAACCTGCTGTGCCACAGTGCCAGCCCAAGTCATTCTCTCCCACCCTAGGAAATTACCAGGAATTTCATGACATAACCTTCTCTCTCTTCTATATTACAGCTTTCTAACTGTACTAAGAATAGCTGTATTTTTTCTTTTTAAGACTAAGATCATCCAGTCAGGCCTTGGATCCGTGTGTTTTGACTCTGGTCACCTCAGATAACTCCAACACTTTTTTTTCCCCACTTTGAAAGTTCCAAGCTGGATATCTAGTAGGGTGACCCACATTCTGAGTTTGTCTTGTTTCTTTGTGGTGTCATCTAACTTGTTCTCTAGCCTGCTTCCTATAGCCTACAAATTAGCTCTGCAGTCTTGCTTTATTTGTGGGAACCATTTTGGGTAAGAATACTACCTAAGTGAGGCTGTGGACTTCACGCTGTAGCGCATGGTACCAGATTCAGTTCATCTCAAGACTTGTCTTTTGGGATCTCCTTTAGGCCCACAGTGTATTACTGTGTCTTTGGCGATGGCACACCTTTGTCCTTTACAAGTAGCTTTAGTTTTCAGAAACAGCTGCGAGGCTTTGGGAACCCAGCTGGTTGAGGAACTGTTGCTCAGTGTGTTTACAGCAGAGTAGCTGAGCAGGTATTAGGCCTGGCAGTTCAGGCGCTGGTTAAGTACCTGTGTCCTACATCTCAGTGCTCAGGGTCAGTTCCCAGCTCCGGCTCCTGACTCCAGCTTCCTGCTAATGCAGACCAGGGAGGCAGAAATGATGACTCCAGTAATGGGTCCCTGCCACCCACATGGGAGACCCGGGTGGGGCTCTCTGCTCCCGGCTTTCCCAGGCCATTGTGAGTATTTGGGCAGGGAAGCAGCAGATAGAAACTCTTTTCTCTCTGTGTGTCTCAAATAAATAAATGGCTTTAAAAAAATCATGGCTCTAAATATAAAACAGTATTCTTCCTATTTTGATAACAGACTGTGGGTGCTGGTTGGAATCCTGACTGCTCCACTTCTTCTTTTTTTTGACAGGCAGAGTTAGACAGTGAGAGAGACAGAGAGAAAGGTCTTCCTTCCGTTGGTTGACCCCCCAAATGGCTGCTATAGTGCCGATCTGAAGCCAGGAGCCAGGTGCTTCCTCCTGGTCTCCCATGCAGGTGCAGGGCCCAAGTACTTGGGCCATCCTCCACTGCACTCCCGGGCCACAGCAGAGAGCTGGACTGGAAGAGGGGCAACCGGGACAGAATCCGGCACCCCAACCAGGACTAGAACCTGGTGTGCCGGCGCCGCAGGCAGAGGATTAGCCTAGTGAGCCGTGGCGCTGGTCATTGCTCCACTTCTGAGCCAGCTCCCTACTGATGCACCTGGGAAAGCAGCTGAAGATGTTCCAAGTGTTTGTGCCCCTACACCCACATGGGAGGCCTGAATGTTGGTCTGGCTCAGCCCTGGCTGTTGTGGCCACTTAGGGAATGAACCCGTGGATGGAAGACCTCTTTCTCTCTGTAACTCTTGACTTTCAAATAAGTAAATACAATTTTTAAAAGAAGGAAACAAATAGTGTGGTAAAATGTCAAGAGCAGTGGCCTCAGGGACGGAGCCCTGGCTTTTGGCTCCGGAACAATGTGCTGGATCCTCTCCGGCAGCACTCTTGCCCCCTCTGAGCCTTGTCTCCACATCTGCAGGGGTGTGTGTGCTCAAATTCCACACAGCTCAACACCAGTAAGCTTCAGATACAAGTTACTGGAAAGTCAAAGATGCATATATGTACAGATTATATCTCTTTTAGAATCATTGGGCAGCTTTTGAAGTCTGTAAATTTCAGAATTTCTGTGGAGCAGCTGTTGCAGTGTGCTGTGCTCACACTCGCTGTATGGTACAGCGAATGGAGCAAAACCGGAAGGCAGCAGTGTTGCACTTGTGATAGTGGGAGGTGGCTGGTGGCTTGACCCATGCTCCTGTTTCCTACCTGCCCCGTCTCCACAGGAGGGCGCAAAGGAGTACGCCATGCTCCATAACCCCCGCTCCAAGTGCTCTGGCCGGCGCCGGCGAAGGCACCACGTGGTCAGTGCTTCCTGCACCAACACGTCGGCCTCTGCTGTGGCTGAGACTAAAGAAGGAGACAGTGACAGGGACACAGGCAATGACTGGGCCTCCAGCTCTTCAGGTACAGTGACAGAAAACGAGGGCCTTTCCTCCCTGTGCGAGGACACCAGCCAAGCCGAGACCTCTCCTCACACTTAGGGTTCCCGCCTTTGTGGGGCTGCTCATGCTTGCCGTGATTTCACCTGCAGCCAGTGGGGATGGGGAATGTTTTCAGTAACTGTTCTCCCATTGCGGTAGAGCGAAGTTCTGTGTGCAGCCAACCACATGCCACCTTCTTTTGTTTCTGATTTTTTTCCCTCTCAGAGGCCAACTCCCGCTGTCAGACGCCCACAAAGCAGAAGGCCAGTCCTGCCCCGCCGCAGCTCTGCGTGGTGGAGGCGCCGTCGGAGCTTGTGGAGTGGACCGGGGCTGAGGAGTCGCTCTTTCGCGTCTTTCATGGCACCTACTTCAACAACTTCTGTTCCATAGCCAGGCTTCTGGGGACCAAGACATGCAAGCAGGTACTGTCTGGCAGCTGCAGAAGCAGCGCTGGCCCCTCTTTCACCGTGGCTCTGCCCGTCGCATTGCTGTCTGGCGGGCCTGTGAGTCTGGCTCGTGCCCCTCGTCAAATGCTGGGCCTGGCAGCACTCGGGGCTCTGCCCTCCCCGCTACCACCACTGAGTACTTCTGGCTGGGCCCACGCTCTGGTTGCTTCTTCTGCTTCCTGTCTTCGCTCCTGAATGTGTGCCGCTTTCCTGGAAGCGCCTCTTGGGCCAGCTGTGGGTGCCATAGCCAGCGCACTGCCCTGCCCTCCGTCAGCCTCCTAAGTCACGTACTGTCCAGATTCTCTACTTCTGCCCCCAGCAGCTGGGCCTAGCCTTCCCTCCGGACTCAGACCACCCCTAGAAACAGTGCGACAGCAGCCCCTGGTGCTCTGGAGACTGCCAGACTGAAGACCCGGGGCGGGGCCTGCGCACAGGGCTCCCTCCCTCCTGGCCTCCTCCTCTCGTCTCCTTCACTTGGGATAGTCGAGAGGACCGTGAGTCCCCTCTGCTTTCATCTTGGAGCTCATACCTATTTCCTTAAGGTATAGGTTCCTAACTAACCTAAAAGGCAACAGAATTGTATGCAAAAAGAAAACATATGTTTTTTCCTGAGGATGAGAACTGTAGTTTCCATAGAAATCTCAGAAGGGCCCATAGCCAGCAAGAGAAAGGAGAGGGTAAAATGAGAGCTGTGAGAAGCTCGGGGAGGGCGCTGCCCTCTGGAGCTGCTGTCATACCGAGTATCATGCTCTGACATCTTTGTACCAACAGGGGGCGCTAGAGCTTAGCCCCGTGTACCCACTCCTGTGCGCTGCCCGCAAAGTTCCCTTCCTAAAAAGAGGCAGATAGAGTTGGTGAGACTCGGCCTACCACGGCGTGGCGGGCAGGGAGCTGGCGAAAGCGCTGCCTGCACCGTGTGGCCGTGTTCGGGCGTTTCTGCTGTCCTGCGCCCGGGTCAGCTGTTAGGAATTAGCCCCAGAGCCAGGGACCCGACGTCCTGGTGGCTCTCCGTCTCTCCCTCGCTGAAATGCACGCGGGCAGTTGCCTGTGAGCTCCACACAAGCCTCCTGAGCCCAGCTCCTGGCTGGGCCGCCCGCCCGAGCACAGGGCTGGAGCACGAGTGACGGCCTTGTTGCGCTTCTCTTCCAGGTCTTTCAGTTTGCAGTGAAAGAGTCACTTATCCTGAAGCTGCCAACAGATGAGCTCATGAACCCCTCGCAGAAGAAGAAGAGAAAGCACAGGCAAGGCTTGGACAGAGGCCTTTTGTGGCCAGGCTGGGCCCTGGGCTCCGCCCTCTCCTTGGGCTTCCCTTCTGCCCCCTGTTGGGCCCCTGTATGGGGCCATGTGAGCCCATCTGTTTGCCTAGGGGCAGCTTCTCGGGGCTCGCTGAGGCCCTGCCCCACTCCCCCAGGTGCCTCCGACCGTGAGATAACTTTCTGGTTTTCTATTGAAGCTCCTGGCCAGTGGGAAGTGGGCTGGCCCCACGGCCCCACCCTGAGACCCTTCCTCCTGGTTGGGTGGTTAGTTCCCGCCTCACCCACTTCTCAGCTCTGCCCCAAGCTTACTCCTTCTCCTTGTTTTTTGGCACTTGCATTGTGTGATAACGCTGTCTTATAGCTAGCCTCACTCAGGGTTGGAAGTTTAAAAAAAACCTGGCACCCTAATGAGTGTCACCTACGGGAGGAAGGTGCTGACACCGGGGCTGGGTGCAGAAGGAAGTCCCTGGGGCCCCTCCCTTCAGTTCCTCCACTCAGGAGAGAAAAGGCCTTCCTACCTGCTGCCCCCCGTCACCCACCTCCACAAAGGGGGTGCAGGGGAGGAGGAGAGGATAACCTTATGGTGGACACAGGGGGTTGGGCAGGGCGGGGTGGGCATTTAAGTGTCAGTCTTAGGCCGGGTGGATTTAGGACAGACTCCAGCTTCTGTGTACAAAGTAGGAGCCTTCCCTCGGATTTCACAACACTGTTCCCTGGTTGTCAGCCCAGAGTCCCTTGGAGCAAGAGGGCCGTAACCAGACCCACCCTTCTCTTTTTCAGACTGTGGGCTGCACACTGCAGGAAAATTCAGCTCAAGAAAGGTACGTGCCGCCAGCGCAGTCCGGGGCGGCGCCGTTCGCAGCCACACCCTGCGGCCGGCCCCCTGCCCCACGCGCACGGTGTGCTGACCCTGGCCGCTTCCGCAGAGGGCAGGTCTCTGTTGTCTGCAGCAGCTGAGGTGAGCAGCTCAGCCGCTCCCTGCAGCCGAGACCTCCTGGCAGCACTCAGGGGCCTGGCGCTCTCTGGCTTTGCCGCGGTGCCCTTGGCAGGCCCCAGAGCTCGGCTGCCGTTCAGCAGAGCTCCCTGTTATCGCGGGTCATCTCTGCACCCTCCCCACCAGACAGACCACAGCGGTCACCTCAGCTGTCTTCTCCCTTCAGCTGCCACCTGTGGCCCAGAGTGGTGGCGCCTAGAACAAGCCTCCTGGGGCCGGGAGCACGGCTGGGGAAGGCGGGCGGGCTGCGAAGGAGGGTGGTGCGGCAGCCCCGCTCGTTCCTCTCCTAGATAACTCTTCCACGCAAGTGTACAACTACCAGCCCTGCGACCACCCGGACCGCCCCTGCGACAGCGCCTGCCCCTGCATCATGACTCAGAATTTCTGCGAGAAGTTCTGCCAGTGCAACCCAGACTGTAAGAGCTGCCTCCCCCGTCCACACCCGAGCGCGGCCTCGGCGTGGCCCGCTCCCCTCCCCCCACCCCCGACCCCTGCGGCTGGCGGCCTTCTGCTGTGCTGGCCGTGGCTGAGGCATTCTACAGGGGAAACACAACACAGCGCTGAAATCATTCGTGAGAAACGCCTGAGTTTACGGCCGTAAGAAGCAGCGCGTGTTCAGCGATCAGGCCTTTCCCGACCTCCCTTTTCCAGGGCGGAACTCAGAGATGCGAGATCTTTTTCCTTAAGGTGCAGTCATCGTCTCTCTTTGGGGGATTTTTCTTTTTAGTTTAAATTTTTCTTCATTTTATTTGAGAGAGACAGAGACAGAAAAAGGTCTTCCATCTGCTAGTTCACTCTCCAGATGCCTACAACAGCCAAGAGCCGGGCCACACTGGAGCCAGGAGCTCAGACCTCCATCCAGGTCTCCCATGGAGGTGGCAGGAACTCAGTCAAGTACTTGAGCTGTCACTTGCTGCTTCCTATGGGTGATGGATCAGATTGGAGGAGCTGGAATCCGAACCAGGCACTGCAGGATGGGATTGAGCATCCCAAGTGGTGACCCAAGCGATGTGCCAAACCCCCACCCAAGAATGTTCGAAAAACATTTTTTGAGTCACTGTTTTTTAGTTTACAACTCTTGTTTATGTCTGTGTTTGTTTAATAAAACTGGAGTTTTGTTATCAGGTGGGAGCCAGGGCCCCGGGTGTGAGCAGAGGCTAACCGTGCTCTGCTCTGCTTCTTACCCGACCATGCCCTAACCCCGTCCCGGCTGAGCGCTTTGATGGCAGTCCCCAGAGCTTGCAGTTCTGGCGCCTGGCGGTTGTGTTCTCAAAACCACCTCACCCAGAGCAGATACCGGTCTCAGCCACAGCAGGGAGGGCAGTGGGTGGAGGAGGCTGGCAGAGCGGATGCGTCCTGTTCTCGGAATGATAGTTGTTTTCATGGTGAGGATTTACCAGTGAAAAGCACTGATTTCATTTTCTCTGGCGCACTCCCCATCACTGCCTTCCAGACTCCACCAGCAAGGGGGGAGGGAGAGCGCTGCTGAGGAGCCCCCGGGAGAAGCGGCTCAGTGCGCAGGCCTGCTCCTCCGCCCACACCTGCTTGTTTGGCTCACAGGCGCCGAGTGTCAGTAGACACTTCATGTCTGTGGAAAACATGAGTAGACGGGACTGCGAGCAGTTGTGGGGAAATGGAGTTCAAAGACAAGATTATTTTGGTGTGAAGTATTTTTGAGGGGCTGGCATTTGGCACAGCAGTTCTGTCACCACTTGGAACACCTGCAGCCCATATCTGGGTGCCTGGGTTTGAGTCCCAGCTACTCCCCTTACAACCTATCTTCCTGCTGATGCACATGCTGGGAGCCAGCAGGCGATGGCTCAGGTGCCCATGCGGAGACCCAGATGGAGTTCCGAGCTCCTGGCTGCAGCCTAACCCAGACCTGGCTGTTGTGCACAATTAGAGAGTGAGCCAACAGATGGAAGATCTCTCTCTCTCTCTGTCTGTCTGCCTCTCTGTTTCTCCACCTTTCAGATAAAATGAAAATAGATAAATAAAACAATATTTTAAAGTAATTAAAATTTTTTTGAGGGGCTGGCATTGTAGCCTGTGCTTCAGCCGCCACTTGGGTGAGTCCTGGCTCCTCTGCTTCTGATCCAGCTCCCTGCTAACACACCTGGGAGGCAGCAGAGGATGGCCCACGTGCTTGCATCCCTGCCACCCATGTGGGAGACCCGGATGAAGTTCCAGGCTCCTGGCTGCTGTAGGCACTTGGGGAGTGATCCATCGGATGGAAGATCTCTTTTTCTCTGCCTTTTGAATGAATGAAAATAAACAAACATTTTTTTAAATGTCAGAGTACTTGCATTGGTTTCTCAGGTATTTTCCATGATAGGTATTTTTATTTTTTGAGAGGCAGAGGGAAGCAGAGCGAGAGAGCACGCTTCCCTCTGGTTCACTCCCCAGATGCCCACAAAGGTCAGGTGCTGGGAACTCCATCCAGGTCTGCCGGGGGGAGCAGGAACCCAGTTACTTGGCCATCAGCACAGCCGGGGGCCAGAGCTGGGAATGTCACCCAGGCGCTCTGCTGTGGGCCACAGGCATTTTCAGCTAAGCCAAATGCTCACTGCTGTGAGCTCTTTGGAGACACCCTGTCGTGCTCATCGAGGAGGGAGCGGCGCTCCTGGCCAGATGTCCTTGAACGCGTGCCGCCCCGAGTGCCACCGTGTCGGCTGCTTCTCTTCCTCACCGGGCGTCTCCCCCCAGGTCAGAACCGCTTTCCCGGCTGCCGCTGTAAGACCCAGTGCAACACCAAGCAGTGTCCTTGCTACCTGGCAGTGCGGGAGTGTGACCCCGACCTGTGCCTCACCTGCGGGGCCTCGGAGCACTGGGACTGCAAGGTGGTTTCCTGCAAGAACTGCAGCATCCAGCGTGGGCTCAAGAAGGTGAGGCCCTGCTCGGGGTCCCGCCCGGGCGACAGTGGGAGGCAGGGTTGTCCTGAGCACCCTTTGCACTGGGGCCTTCTGGGTTTCAGGGGAAGGTGCCGGCTGCGGGAAGGTGTTTCATCCCAGTGAGGGGTTAGAAAAGCAGTCCCTGAATTGGCCAGGCCAGAAGGAGCAGAGAAGGGGATGCGCCATTGATGGGATCTATTTTTACCCTCCCAGAGCAGTGAACGCCCCTAGCCCGAGCTCCAGGGGGAGGCGTCCTGTCTGCTCTCGCCACCTCCCTGTTGGGTTTCTCCTCCACCACAACAGAAGGGCTCGGGTTCTTTCTGTTTTCAGATCCTCTTAAGAGTTTCTAGTTCTCTCCACCCTGCCCCCTGCCACACACGTGTACGTGCAGCCTGCATACCCACGCCCCCCTCCCCGCCGCGGGCTGAGCTGTGACTCCCTCCCCCCAGCACCTGCTGCTGGCCCCCTCGGATGTGGCCGGATGGGGCACCTTCATTAAGGAGTCTGTGCAGAAGAACGAGTTCATTTCTGAGTACTGTGGGGAGGTGAGTGCTGTGGGCTTGGGCAGCCGCTGATGAGCAGTGCTGATTGTCTGCGGCCAGGCTTCTGTGAACTGATCTCTGAATCACTCAGCAGGGCTCCCGGGGGCCCTCGGGGACCCCACAGACCGGCTCGCAGTCCTCAGACGGACTGCTCTGCAGCTCTTGGGTGGTTTGGGCCACACGAGGGAGTGGGGGCTGTCCTGAATGCTGGTCATCCTGGGGGTGTGGCGGCAGCATAGCCCGAGTCCCATCCCTGTTACTCACAGCGCGACACGCAGCAGACACCTACAAGCCACACTGCCCTCCCAGCCCTTGCTTGGGCCAGGGGGCCAGGGGGCCAGGGGGCCAGGCCCTGAGCGGGCGGCCTGATACCCCTGTTTGTTCCTTGTCTCCCCAGCTCATCTCTCAGGATGAGGCAGACCGCCGAGGGAAGGTCTACGACAAATACATGTCCAGCTTCCTCTTCAACCTCAACAACGGTCTGGAGCCTGCCTCTCCCTCCCTCCCTCCCCCCCTCCATGCCCTCCCAGCCCCGCTCTCCCCTATGTCACAGGGATGGGTGATCCCAGCTGCTCCACTTCCATCCAGCTTCCTGCTAAAGGGCCTGAGAAGGCAGTGGATGATGGCCGGGGTTCTTGGGTCCCCAACACCCATGTTGGAGACCTGGATGGAGTTCCGGGCCCCCAGCTTCCGCATTTGCAGAGTGAAGTAGCAGATGGGAGAGCCCCCCACCACTTTATCTGTCACTGCGCCTTTGAAATAAATGAGCAAATAAATCTTAAAAAAATTATTTTTAAATAATTTTCATGGGGCCAGCATTGTGGCATATTGGGTTAAGCCTCTGCCTGCAACGCTGGCATCCCAAATGGGCAGCAGTTCGAGTCCTGGCTGCTCCACTTCTGGTACAGCTTCTTGCTTATGTCTGGGGAAAGCAGCAGAAGACCCATTAGGAGACCCGGAGGAAGCTCTTGGCTCCTGGCTTTAGGAGCTAGTTCTGGCCTTTGCAGCCATTTGGGGAGTGAACCAATGGATAGAAGATATTTCTCTCCCCTCCCTCTTTCTCTCTCTCTCTCTCCCCCCTCCCCCTCTCCTCCCTCCCTCCCTCTCTCCCTCTCTTCCCCTCTCCCCCTCTCTCCCCTTCTCCCCCTCTCACTTTCCCCCTCTCCCCCCACCTCTCTCTCCTTCCTCCCTCTCTTCCCTTCTCTCTGTAACTGGCTCTTTCAAATAAATAAAGTAAATCTTTTTTAAAAAGCAGTCTTTGTGCCCAGTAGGTGAGAGGCAGCAGTCTGTGAGGCTCACCAGGAGGGCTTCCTAGGCCGGTGCTTCCCTGGCCGCGCTGGGGCCCAGGCGTCTGAGCGGTTTCTGTTACTGCTTTGTGGATTTGAAGCGCGGCTGAAGGAGCCAGAGTCGGCCCTGCGCTCATCGTCTTCCCTGATGTGCTTTCTACAGACTTTGTTGTGGATGCCACGCGGAAAGGAAACAAAATTCGATTTGCAAACCATTCTGTGAACCCCAACTGTTACGCCAAAGGTGAGTTCCCGCAGCCTCCGAGGGCAGCGGGATGGCCGCCCCGCTCACTGTCACTCCAGCCCTCGTCAGCTCTTTCCATAACTCAGCTGTTTCTTATCCAGAGATAATCACGATTAATGCCTTTCAATCCTGATAGCGAGTTGGGCCTCTCGCTGTTTCATAATCTGCTTTTTCAGTGTTATAAACACTTTCCCACAAATATGATTGAAAGATAATTCTTTGCCCACATCAGAGTGGTGGAGTTAAGAGCACAGGGGCGTCATTGCTGCTTGTCCAAGTCCCCTTGGTTTATGCTTTCCTGGGAGTTTGGGGACGTCCTCCCTGCTGGCTCGGAGCTGACCCGGAGCCCTGCCTGGGCTCTTGTCTCTGCAGTGGTCATGGTGAACGGAGACCATCGCATCGGGATCTTTGCCAAGAGGGCGATTCAGGCAGGCGAAGAGCTCTTCTTTGACTACAGGTGGGTGGCTGGCCACGGTGCTCACGAGCGGTGGCTGCCAGGATCGCGGTGGCCTCTGGGGCCCTGCCTCAGAAGTGGGGCCCCTGTCCAGGGCTGTGGGGAGGAGGCGGGGAAGTGAGACGGGCGGGAGCCCTGCCTGCCCGTCACAACATCCGTGAGAGTAACCTGGCTCCCCTCCTGCCCTGGGACAGGTACAGCCAAGCCGATGCCCTCAAGTACGTGGGGATTGAGAGGGAGACCGACGTCCTCTAGCCGCCTGTCCCGCCCCCACCCGCGACACAGTGGCGGCACCGTCCTTGCTTTCACGCACGCACCACTGCTGCTGAGTTCCCGTACTGTGTCTTCCACGCCGAGAAATCCCCCGCCTACTCCCTCTGTTGCGAGGCCTCAGCTGCATCCCGTGGGGGCGGAAGGGGAGACAGAGGCAGAGCAAGCTGCGGAAGAGTGGGGCTGCCCCCCAGGGCTCAGAGGAAGAGTGCACAGCTGGGTGGTTGGCCTAGGCTCGGCTCTGGTCCGCGGGCCACAGCAGGCACCCCAGCCAGTCCCTACCGACCGCCAGCCCAACGCGGAGCTTTCCCGACAGAGGGTCCTGGTGGAACTGAGGTGCCAGGCATGGCTCAGCGGGCCTGAGGCCTGGACAGGACAGGCTGAGCGGAGCCTGGTCCCTGGAGCCTGTGTGAGTTAGGGGCAAGCCTGGCCGGCAGCACAGCCGCAGAGGGAGGTGGGCGCCCCCGCCACCTCCTCCTCAGTGAGGGCAGGGCCCAAGTCCAGGCTGGATGCTAGAGGAAGCAAGTGAGGGCCGCCCTCCCGTGGGCAGGGCGGGAGAAGCAGCCCGCCGTCCCAAGTGCAGCTGCCAGATTGGAGAACGCCATCTCCATGCGCCGTGCAGATAGATGGAGATGTGTTCGTGCCTTCCAGGAGCAGGGGCAGTGCCCAGCTCCCTCTGACAGCCTGGCCTCCGGCTGCAGGCGGGCCACTTCCTGGAGAGGCCAGGCCTGGGGCCAGTGCTGCTGGTGTCTTCAGGGTATATGGGCAAGGCCTGGCCTGGGGAGGGAGAAGTTGTAGGCGTGACTTCCTGTTCACAGCTCCTGCTGTTGGAAAGCGCGAGTTGGCTGGAAGTGGAGGGGTGTAGTTAGGATGGCAGCACACGTGCCGGGCAGGGAACCCCCCGCCCCAGTCTGTGATGCCTCCTCTCGGGGCTTGATGCAGAGCAAAGCACTTTATTTGAGAAAGTCTGGGAGTGGGGTGATGGCTGAGCCGAGGTTGCAGGGCCCCTGCTCAGTCCCACCCTGGAGTGGGGAGCACGTGGGCTGGAAGATTCTCCTCCAGTTCTGACTCATCTCGGGAGGCAGCAGGAGCCAAGAGACCGGAGCCGGCAAGAGCTGCCTGCTGTGTGGGTGCAGTGCTGCACTGGTGGGGAGCGAGGCGTGCGCCGGGGAGGAAGGAGTCGGGCAGGCTCAGAGTCTGGTCCCCGGCCTCCGCTGACCACTCCTCCCTCCCTCCCACCCCCCCACCCCACTGGCTGTCCCAGGAAGGCAGAAGTGGGGCTCCCTATGGCCACACCGCTCTGGGACACGCACGCTCACACACACACACACACACACACACACACACTGACCACACTGGTGGGCACACAGCCAGTTCCTGATAGAACCTCTTCCCCTCGCTGGGCAAGCCACTGCCTGGACCTGCTGCGGTTGCCTTGTGCGTCAGAGATGCCCCCAGCCGGACTGTGGGCTCTGTATTACTCCCAAGGGGGAGAGCAGAGGCAGAGACGCAGGAAGGAGCAGGCCAGTGTGAAACCCAGGGGGCTAGGCTGCCCCCACCTTCTCAGTGAGCAACCAGGGACTGGCCCTGCTCCCCAGTTCTAGGCCACAGGTACTCCTGCACCTCCACACCTTTCCCCCATTCCTGCTGTCCCCCACTTCTAATGACGGGTCTTGACCCCTCTGCCCTGCACACCTTGATGAGTGGCGCAGGGTGGTGGGCACTGGAGAGGCTGGAGGACGTGCGGCTTTGTCGCCAGTGAACTCCGCGCACTTTAAAGTCCTGTGGCTTGTGACCTCTCAATCTGAATAAAGTGTCAGAATCCACCTGGGCAAGTGGAGTGCCGTGTGTCTCGGGGCTGCAAGGGCCTGGGGAGGGCGGCACAGGAGTAGGTCAGCCGGAAGCGGCCGAGTCGGGTCCCCGCTGACCGCTCACATCTGGGGCTGGGCCCTGGCAGAAGCTGCAAATTCCTAGCGCTCCCTCTAGGAACTCCTGGGCCCTCGGGTCAGTTCCCTTCAAAGTGTTCCACTTTCCCAAGCACAGGGCCAGCACCGTACACAGCTGGGGCTCTGCCACTCTGCTTTATTGGACGGCTCTGCAGAGCGGCGTGAGTGACCAGCAGGACTCATGGCAGGCCCCACACAGGGGACGCCAGCTACAGACTGTGGGCACAGGACAGGACAGCTGACTGGGGTTTTCTTTTATATATAAACAGGTAATAATTTAAAAAATTAGAATAATATATACTGTTTCCCTAGAGACAGACTCATCAACAACAAATAAGTACATAAAGAATAGGACCTCCTGGGCAAACGAAGCAGCGTCCACAAGCGGGAAGAGGGCTCCTCGTGCACTGGGGAGGGGCCGAGCCTCCAGACAGGCCCCACGGCTGCTGCGCGTCTTGGCAGGGGGCACGGCAGAGGGCTGGCCAGGCAGGGCGTGTGCGATAGTTTCTCTACATTGCGCATTCTTTATGGCTTTGGCTAAAGCGGTGAAGCAGCGGAGGTACTAAGGTGCTAAACTGAGGCCTCTTGGTCTCTGTGCAAAAAACAAAACGAGGGGGTGGGGACAGCAGGGAAGCCCCCCTCGCAGGGCTGAGAGGAAGCAGGTGGGAGACGGTTGGCAGGGCGGGGGAAGTCTGGGGGGACAGGATTAGCAGCCTCCTCCCCCTGCCCTGCACAGCCCTGTAGCTGCACATCTGTCCCTGCTGATAGAGTCTGTGGGGAGGGAGGCGGTTCCTCTCCCTGGAACTCTAGTTAATCCCTGGCAGCAGCTGGGACAGAGATGGCTGGAAGGGCCTCCTGCCCCGAGGGGCCTGGGGAGACGGGGTCAGCAGCGCGGAGGGGTAGGCAGTGAGGCTCGGCCGCTCCTTTTGGTCCCATCTGTAGCTCTGCCCACCAGACCTGGCAGCAGGGGCATCTGGGTAAGCAGAGCCAGCTACGTGGAGCCAAGTGTCCCTGACGGGGTGGGGACGAGGCGAGGACTGGGGGATTCCGAGGACTTGGACTTGGCCCCCGAAGCCCTTCTCCTGACTCATTCTGACCTGGACTCCTCCAGGATCTGGGGTAGGTTCTGGTCCCGAGGGCCAGGGGCCGGGGCCGGGGCTGGACCAGGAGCGGGGGCCGGAACTTGGGTGGGAGCTGGTGTGGGGGTAGGGGCCTGGGCGGCGCCTGTGGCAGGCAGGGGAGGTTTGCCACCAGCATGGTAGTCGTGGGTGGCCTTGGGCTCGTTGGTGTGATAGGAGCCCTTGTAGCGGTGGTTCTGCAGATAGAAGAGCACCAGCATCCCCACCAGTCCCAGCAGCAGGAAGGCCACCAAGACTGCAAGGAGGGAAAGGAACCGTTCAGGGCTGCTTCCTGGAGCCCCCTCTCCCCTCCCCTCCCCCTTCTCCTCTCACACACACACACTAGGAAGCCATCCTAAATGTACTAGTTCTGGGTTCCTGGCTTAGCCCCTGCTCACGTGTAGTTCTAGTATTCTCTTCTACATCCCTGGTGGTCCCCACAGCTCCTTATCCCTGCAGGTGTCACGGCACCCCCCTCCCCCATTTCCTCCTTCCTTAGCTGTAGTCCCATTTCAACACTTCAGTTAAAGATTGCTAGCATCCTCAATACTAAGAAATGTCCAGCTTGATTTCACACCACCCTCAGCGTGGCCCGGCTCCTCCTGGGACCAGCAGTCACCCAGCACCTGTGCCACCCCTCAGCCCCAGGGAAGGGTAGCGAGGGTGCCCTCCGTGGAGCTCAGGGTGCCGATGGGGCTACTCACAGCCTAGCAGAATGGCCACCCAGCCGTCGTCATGGTAGTAGGGAAAGTCTGGTGGGGAGACAGCAGCAGTCAGGACCCCCGTGCTCAGAACCGCTTCCCACCCCACCGTCTGGGTCCCGGGGCCGTACCTGGGGGCAGGTACCAGGGGTCGAGCTCAGGCGGCACCTCAGAGACGAGCCGTGGCATGGCCCCACAGTTAGACTCGGCCAGCTCGCCCTGCACGCGGAGGGCTTCGGCCAGCTCTGCCGTCATGGGCCGAGGGCTGCGGAAGTGGGTCTTGAGGGGAGCCACGTTGTTGAATCGAACACCAGACAGGCAGCCCGAGAAACCGGGGGTGTTGTAGCGCTGGATCTCTGGGTCAATGACTCCTGTCTCTGAGGGAGAGGCGGGCCCAGAGAGAGAAAGGCTGGACCACCGGGAGCCCTGTGCTCCCACCACCATGGGCTTCTCACCCACCCTTCCTGCCACCCCCACGGCCACTCCCAGTGCCTTCGCTCTGCCCTAGGCTCCTGGGCCTTCAGCCCCTGCTCACCCATCACGCGCCCGAGATACAAGGCCTTGGGTGAGTCCAGCTGGCTGTCCACCAACAGTGAGAACTTCTGTTCTGTCATGGAGAAGTAGTCCACCTGCGGGCAGGGGGCAGAGCGGATGACGGAGGGAGGACCCAGGCGAGACCCAGAGGCAGACGCGGCCAAGACCACGTAGGAACTCTCGTGCTCTCCCAACCCGCGTGTCAGTGGGTGGATCCTACTCTGTCCAAGGTGGGCAGCTGCTGGCCACTGTGTAGGACTTGGTGTGTTGAAAAAAATAAAACTAAAGAACAAACCCTAGTTTGGGGTCAGACATTGGGTCTAATGGTTAGGATGCCCACATCCCACATCTGAGCGCTGGGTTTGAGTCTCGGCTCTGGCTCCTGACTCCAGCTCCCTGCTGATGGCACTCCCTGGAGGGCAGCTGTGACGGCTCAGGTGACTGGGTTCCTGCCACCCACTTGAGAGACCTGGGTTTGAGTCCCCAGCTCCCCGATTCTGCTCCTCCATCATTGTGGGCATTTGAGAAGTGAACCAGCAGATGAGAAAACTCTGTCTCAAACAAAAAAAAATTTTTTTTTCCTAAAAACCATGATTTTTGCATCCCATCTCAGAGTGTTGCTTTTAGTCTGGCTGTTCTACTTCTGATCCAGCTCCCTGTCGGTGCACCTGGGAAGGCAGCAGATGGTGACCCAAGTGCTTGGGCCCCTGCACCCATGTGGGAGACCTGGATGGAATTCTTGGCTCTTGGCTTCAGCTTGGCCCAGGCCTAGCTATTGTAGCCATTTTGGGGAGTGACCAGAGAACAGAAGATCTCTCTCTTTTTGTCTCCCCTCCATGTCGCTTTGCCTTTTAAATAAATGAAGGAGGAGGAGGAAGAAGAGGAGGGGGTGGGGAGGAGGAGACAGCAAGTCCCGTCTCCTGTCTTTGCAGCTCAGCTCACTAGAGGTTTGACTTCGGGAAAAGCACTTTACTCTTGGCGCTGGTCCACTGATTCTGCCGACCTGCACCACGGCACAGAAGCACTGGCAGGGCACGGGAGGCGGGGCACGTGGAGTCCTCCGTGCACCGCAGTGGCTCTGCAGGTGTCAATCCTTGACATTCCCCCCCCCCCCGGACGCCCCAGCGGGGGCCACGAGCTGATGACCGGAGGCCCCTCTGCCCCAGCACGCACCTGGATGAAGAGGTTACGGTAGACCCGGGTGATGTTGACACTGTGCGGCTGCCCGTCGGTCACCGGCCGCGTGGTCAGCTGGTACACATAGGGACTGGTGCCCAGTTGATAGCGCAGCTGCAGGGTCCCTGCGGGAGGGGAGGCCGAGGGTGGGGTCTCCTCACAGCTCCCGCAACCCCACCTCGTGGGAGCGCTCGGGGCCTGGTGTCAGCGAGATGAAGGCGGCGGCGGGTGGGCCCAAGGGGCGCTCACCGTCCTCCTTGATGAGCACGGCCATGTAGTCCCGCACGAAGGAGCTGACGTAGAGCAGGACCGCGGGGGCCGAGCTCGTGCTGAAGCTGAAGGACACCTCCTCACCCGTGACGTTGTACACAGGCCCGCGGTAGCCAGGCACGGGCCGGCCAGGCTGGGGGTACTCGGGCAGGCGGTACCCAGGGCCGTGGTAGCCGGGCACGTAGCCGGGAGTGTCGTAGCCGGGGACGTAGCCAGGCTCATAGCCTGGCACCGGCCGGCTCAGCATGTGGGAGAACTCGCGGGCCGCGGAGCGCAGGGCCGACTGCAGGTTGTAGCGCATCCAGGTGCCTGGCTCAAAGAAGCCACCAATGTCTGCGGGCAGAGGCAGTGAGGTCAGCGCCCCTGGCTGCCTCCTCAGTCCCCAAGTCTGTCTGTCTGTCTCTCTCTGTCTCACCACACAGATGCGCGCCCGCTTCCATCTTGGCCATCATCACAGCGTCTCACCACACACAGATGCGTGCCCGCTTCCATCTCGGCCATCATCACAGCCCTACATTTACTTCCAGGTCACCTTGAGCCCCCTCGGTCACAAAATGGAAACTTGAGGGATCATCTAATCCAACCCCAGAAGGGGACACTGAGGCTCAGGGACTGGCAGTGACTTGCCTAAGAACACACCAGAAGTGAGAGCTAAGATTCGATTGACACGCTGACCCCATCCAGTGTATGTGCCATTCCTCACCCTTGCAAACCAAGGCCCGGGTCTGCTGCCCCTAAGCCTCCACATCTCCCTCGTCCAGCACACTCCTCCCCGCACCCCTGCCACCCTCAGGGAGCCCGCCATGCGGGCTGTGTGCAGAATCTTGCAAGGCTGAATGTCTGGGTTTGTTTTCACCAAGAGCCAGGGTGGAGCTGGGTTTTAGGAGTGTAGCAGCCGTCAACAGGAAATGGCATGGAGGGGCTCAGACAAGCCAAGGACTAAAGGCAGGTAAGGTGGCAACCTGTGGCCTTGGGGCCTGTGGGACCATGGCCAAGGTACTGGCCTGAAGCCTCCCAGCTCTCTCTGCACCTGCTAGCTGGGCCAGCCCCACTAGGGAGCATCCGGCACCTTCTCCTGTCT